GTATTGGCAGAGCGAACGGGAATAGGTTGCCTTGAAGAACCCAAGCTAGCGGTATTCTGGGTTTGTATCCGAAATAGTTCATGAAATAATAGCCCATTATTTAAGTTAACTCCATCGTTTACTAGCTGAAGTGTACGAGTCAATATTGAAATACAAATACGTTGATATTTTGTTTTTATCTCGTCAAATGATTTCGTGCACAACGCAAGGTTTTGTATCTCTTACAACGTGCCATTACGTATTTTCGTTGTAATTTGCATTTTTTGTGCACGTGTGTCAATGTTTCTTTTCTTTTTCTTCTTCTTTTTTTCGTGAATATGTTAGGTGATGATAATACCATTTCCCTTCGTTCTGTAATGACAAGAATATAATGAATTGGCTGTCTGCAATGACTGTCTCAATAACCTCGCTCAAATTGTTTGCCAAGGTCGGGGAGCACTGCGGAGTGAGCTGTCGGCTCCGTGCTGCACTCTCTGCGCTCCGTCCAGGAACAGCGAATGTGTCCCCGGGCGGTTATGAATCGCAAACGCCCGGTTCGATGCCGTGAAACATTTATTAGCGGTATGTTACAACCTCGTCTGCCGAAGCGCCTCTACCTGCGGCGACTATTTTTACTCGGTCCACAACACGGCGGGTATGCCTCTCGGCTTTTGCGGTGGCCCAAGCCAGTAGTGGGCGTCAGAAAGTGCAGGATTAAAACCCAAGACTTCAGCGTATGCAGCCTACCAATATCTGCGGGCTCGAGATAGGACAAAGATGAAACGAAGTTAGAAAATATTAAATTATTAGTATCTTTTGTTTGTCATATCTAATTGAGCACTTTTTACTGTTCGAGAATGATTAAAAACTCATAAATGCACTTCTAGGTTACATAACACATGATTTCCGAACAGCGTAGCATTGACTTAACGTAATATCATGTGATACGTTTCTCATTTCACGCTTACCTACAATTATAATCAGTAACTTCGTGTAAGTAATATTTATATTAGACCATATTAAAGAGAAGTTTGAAAAATTGCAGAAAACAGTTAGAATAAATGGAACCAAAGTGGTACCAAAAAAAGGTTTGAATTTTCTCGGGGTATGGATATTTATACCTATGTTGTGGCAAAATTGTCTTTCCCAATCACCATGCTTCACTTGTCCATCCCTATTCCATCACCCTGGCCTACCTCTGTGACTTGGGAGTCTGTAAAGTCTGAAAGCATAGCACATGGGCGGGCCATTCCCCGGCACCTGTCATCCAGTTTGTGACTGGCAGTGGCCTTACAGCCACTGGCTACGGTAGAAGCGAGCTAATTGGTTGTCTCCAGGTCTACGCGTAATACTTCGATCTCAATTCCGGGAATACTAGGTTCGTATTGATGGATTAATTACTCGTAATTCCCCGCGCGACAACTGCTAAGGTCATTAGTCCCCAATTTTTTTTTCTCGGGAGGTAGCGGTGATCTTGCCCCGCTGGATGGCAAGACCCGGCGCCGATCCTCCGTCAGCTAACTGAGGTTTCCCTAACCAGGTATCTCCCACCAGGAGCACTCGCCGACTGCTCTCCCGACAAGTGAGCGTAAGTGTATGTAAGTAAGGGGTGAAGATGAGGCAAGAAATGGGAAGGAAAGACCTCGGTCGATCCGCGGTCCGATTGTTAGGGCACTGTTGCGGCATTTGCTTGGTGTTGATCGGAGAAACTATCTATCATAACAGCCAGCCACTAGAATTCTCCTCTAGACAGCGAAAGAACTCGACCTATCTACCTGGCCTATGTCGAAAATCTTGCCACCGTCGAGACTCGAACCTAGGACCTCCCGGTTGTAGACACTGCAGTGACGTCAGGTTCGTAGAAGGGATGCCCGCAGAGGGGAGAGGTTTGAAAGGAGGAAGTGGTTCTCGCGATGCTCCGGGGATTTCCGGGTCCCCATGTTTACTTGATTCATGTTTCCGAGTACGCTAATTCCGTTATTAATACCGTTAAATAAGTGAATGTTATACTCCTGGAAGTAGCGATGATCCTCCCCATGAATGGAGAAACCCAGCGCCGGTCTACATGACGATTCTGGAACATTTCGCACCACCAGGCATCTTTCCCAGCGGGGCACCGCCCCATCCAGGACAAGCCCTAAGCCCTTGACTGATAATGAAACGTATGTTCAAGTATGTATGAAGAAAAATAGGTTCGAAAATGTGTGAGTTTCAAGTATATAAATATGTCTACTACTTGAAGAATACATTGCCCGGGCAATTTCTTCCCACATCATGGTAATAACACATGTGTTCAGATGGGTTTGTGCGTACTCTGTCAAATTGGCGGTCTCGAAAACACTTTGTTAATTAATAGTTCCCCATCCATGATCACACGCTGGCGGGTTTAAATAGCGGACAGTTCACGGGCAGTTAGCGCAAAAAAAATTAAACCTGACTGTTCCAAATCGCGCCGCGCCGCTTGGTATAGTACATGCTCGTGTTTGTAGACACGCATTAAGTGATTCTTGCCGTGTCGCATCACGTTCTGCGCGTTTCTAAGCCAGCCTCGGTCACCAGGAGGAAGTGTTTACAGCCTCTTTTACACGGTCATTTTTTTCATCTGCACAGTGATTGTGCCGGATCAGACGTGAAGTGACGGATCAGACGGGATATAATTTGTACAGAAAATGACGCATGCTTCATTTTCCGGTGCAGATTTCATCTACTATGACTACCGCACTCCTGTCGTCACTTTCTGGAACTTTTGGTTGTTTGCTCTGCTTGAGATTTGTTCCTTTGTGCAATTTGTGAGCGTTCTATGTTAAATTATGAATTGCCTGAGGCATCGTGGGAAAAGGTGAGGTTTATTTAGACACAATAATTCAATGAAATAAGAAAAAATGACAAAATTATTCAATGAAAAGTAAATGGTAGCATGGATTATGTGAGAGCTCATTTGGGTATCAGATAAAAGTACAAATGTGCTTTAATATTTGTATGTTAATGTTTTAATACTCTTTATAGTTTTGCATTATTTTTTCTACAAATAAAGAAATGAAGTTTATAATTATGTAGTATTTAAACATAGTACTCCACGAAAATAACCTTCTTCAAAAGCTTTATAGAACACTGAATTTTGAAGTAGCACCTTACGAACACCGTTTGCGAATGTTTTTCGGTCTTGACCCTTGAAATGCGAATATCTGAAATATCTCAAACTGATTCGCAAGACAAATGCGCACCACTAAGACGTCGTGTTCTTTAAGACCTCTTTAAGACCGTCAGCTAAGCCAAATTGCAAACTCTCGGCTAGAGTTGGGTTCGACGCCCTGGGCAGTGGCTCGTTCTGCCAGGGTGGTCGAGTTCACGACTCACAAAGATCGATGGCGGAGGCAAGGAAGTGTCTGAATTTGATCAAAGGTCATTCTTGACTGACCGAAATTTCGGCGTATCTTAGGGACTAACAATTCACACATTACATAAAACGAGCAAAATACGTGATTAGAAGTCATTAAAGGTATGCATGAAGATTGGGTCTTAAATAATTTTTGGCGGTATTGTCAAAAACAGTGGGCAACCCCTAGGTTGTTGCACCTTTTAGCGTCATTTTGGCGGCCTGAGCTCTTCACGGGCGGGGGCTCCATGCAGGCCAGGTCTGGATCTCCTGGAAGAGTGCTAGTCCCGGACTTTGGGTAGCAGACACCTGCCGATGGGCCAACAATTTGTAGTCTTCCGCCAACAAGCCCTGCTTTTCGCCGCACTCAATCAACTTCTTCAAGGCTTCCATTTGAGGCCGCACGGGCAGCGAATCTGTGAAATAGGGTCGGTAAGATTATTACTCGAATGCATTAGTATATTCTGAAACATTGGAGAAAGTTTAATTAAAAATGACCCAGAAGGAACGAGTACAGAGAGAACTTTTTAATGGCTGATGAAGATTTAATATTAAAAAGGAAAGGAGAAAGAAGATAGAAGTATTTCGAAGACCTTCTGGGTAAAAAAACCAAACGTATATAAATAATTTACTATGAATAAACTGATGTTAATCCAATAATTCTTATAGCCCCCAAAATAGGTCAGTTTTTATCTCATATACTTCTATTGCGAATTGTATTTCTTCAAAAGACGCAGACATCCTAAATCAAACATATAAGCAAGTTTTGGCATTCCTGAATACTACATGTCGATTTAGCCGAAATCTCTAAAGCATTGAACGCTCTTGGCCAGGGTGTATTCACGACTTGTGTCGGTTCGGATCTTCCTGTAAAATTCGTGTTAAGCCTCTACTATAGAGTAATGAAGTTGGTTTTGACGAAGAGCCAAAACCACGAATCCATTTAAAAAAGCCTGTGCGAACGAGATGGCAGATAGCCATAGATATCCACGAAAACATTTTGTAATTGTGAAATATTTCCCACATACGTTCATTCGAATATTATCTTTCAAACTAATATAATTTGGTGAAGTTATATATTTCTAATGAATTTAGCATTTATTTTTTATCGTCTTCAACAAATATTGAGAGTGAGAACTGTTGACAACGACTGCAGAAATCTTGCAATTTGACGCGCAGCAATTCTCCAAAAAGTAACAACGAAGTACATTGTGCGTGTGTGAACTGATTGGGTAGTGATAATCAATCTTGAATTGCCTAAAAAAAATTAAATATTGGCTTAGTGAGGAACAGGATTCGAAACGGAAAGAGAAAATGTCCTTTTATTTATAAAATGCTGTTTGGATGTGCACTTCCAGTATATCGAAATGTCGTGTGTACCATTAACACAAACTTGTCGTCTGAACAAATAGTACTCCCATACATGAATGAGAATTTATTGGGTTTTGATATTCCAGGAAATTCGAGGAAAAAGTCATTCGTTGTAGCATCGTCATCTAGTGGAAAATCCACAGTTTGTGGGGATCCCACAAGTGCACAAACAACCGTCTGTCCTTGAACTAAGCTTAGTCTCACAAAATGCCTCTCAAGAAACCTTCACTTGCCCATTAGCTCGGCCTTTTCTGAATGAGAAAGACATCGTTGTGTGAGCATATCAACACACAGCTGAACTGTTTATTTTCATTGTGCTTGGTTCTTTTTCCACTTTGTAGAAATGATTTGCGAAGTGACGAGGGAATGTCGTCTCAGCGACTGAATACGAGGATGATACTTAAAGACTACACGCAATGAACTAACGTCTACTAAACTTCATTTATTTACGTTAGTTCTTTGACGTTTGATCAGCTGTCTACGTGTGTCATTCCAAATCGGGAGATTAAACACACATACTGCTAATGTCATCTAAGAGCGCGGATCCACGGGAGGAAATGAGGGAAATTCCCCTCCCAAAATTTTTCTGTAACAATTAGTTTTAAATGTCACGAAACTTTCAAGCAAATAATATTTCCGCCATTAAACATTATAACGAATAAAATTGTTTTTGCCAACAGAAAATGAGTTTAGCTGCTTCATTCAAGATAATCTCTAATATGACATGTTCGACCAAAACATTTAAATAAAAAAAAATTCCCCTCCCAAAATGCGTCTCGATCCCCCTCTCCCTTGCATCTAAAAGCTCCCCGATGAATGCACCACCCGATAAACATCTAATCTCACGTCAACTGACTTCCAAGCTACTTCCCATTCTTAGACTCAATTACTCAATGGAATGTCATGGGTGCAACTGAATCTTTTTCCCGTTCGCCGCTAATTTTATGTCCAGAATCCAAACAGACAGAATATGTCTCGCGATGTGCTACGTTTACCGCACAATACGGGATTAAGTTTATCCTAGAATATTGCGGAAAATTGATTTGTCTTGCGAAAGTTATGTTTTTCTAAAATCCAAACTCGTCAAAAAAATTGTAGAAAACAGGAAAATAATTTGCTTAGATTAGTTTGAAAAAACAAAATAATTAAATATTCCCTATTTTTCCAAAACCTGCTTATACTTCTTTGCTCAGAAGGGAAACCACCACCTAATTTCAAAAAGTGTTTTTTAAAGTGTACAAAGTTATATATGGGTATTACATCAGTTCGAATATTAATAAATCTTTTATTTTATCCTCTTTTGTCGTAGATTTTCTTATAGGAGAGATGCAACGTGTATGAAGGCGCCGGATTGGCTACACCAGGGCGCTTCATACCAGGGAATTTATAACCAAAGAAGAGTGCGGTATCATGCTTCATCCGAAATTTCGAGTAAGTCTCACTGCATATAAATATTATAACATAACAAAACATTTTACATTCAAGATTCATTAACGACATTAATTTTTAAACGAAATGTTCCATCTTATATAAAAACGATATAGACTATTAATACTCCTAACATGCCCCAATTTGGTAACATGAAAACAATTTCCGATGTTTACCGTCAATCAATTCTATTACCAATTCGCATTCAATGACTTCACACAACTAGCCATTTCAAATGTAGATTCAGACATTAGTCATCGTGTGGCCCATTCAACGGAGGAAGCAGCCTCATTACTCGATATTAGTATTATATTATCTTATTAATTATTGTTGTTATTATTATGTTTACAGATTATTTAATTATTATGAAAGCGAGGGTGAAATTACGCTACTAAAACAAAACTCTCATCATCATCCACTATTTTGCTTCAATTACTTTCTGTGAATCTACCGTTCGACTACACCACACATTAACACTTCATATATAATCATAATAAACAAAATAATAGTACACTTTGAAAACACATTTAGGTTAAGAAAAAGAACAACTACTACTCATAACATATATTTACAAATTTCTAGATTATTATTCTACATGTAGACACTCCTGACTGTATGCATTAAATCTAGTACGTTAAATACGGAACCACTACGTGAACACATCTCTGGTTCTACAAAATATTATTGATATTCAAAAATTTATAAGTTCGTAGGTCTCTCCTTGCACGGAAGCACACTAATCTTAGCACCGATAATACCCTTCCTCTAAATACCAGAATATCCTTTCCTACATTAAGTCCTTTTTTATGTTACTACCGTTACACACTACTTAATGTCCTGCATAATTTTTATCAATAATTTCCCAATTTCACCGCGAATCCGATGTGCAAGACGAGACTGCACGTGATGTATCAAAAAAAGAGGCCTGCTTCCCTTATTTCGTGCCACATTATTCTCAGAATAAAGAATTACGTCCTTCTCCTTCCACACCATAAGAAAGAAACTATATTTCTCTCCCGTCACCCGTTCAGTAATACCCTCTCCACCCACACGACTCAAAATATCAGTTGATCAGTCCTTTATTCCCTTATTTCTGCTTACTGACGAATTTTACAGCACCCTTTCCTTCAACCGTCTATTGACTAATGTTATTTAGTGTGCTCAGTTAAACATATTCTTCTCATATCATTCCACCTTTCAACCAAAATCTTCTTCGTTTACTTCATTTGATACTTTTCTCATACATTTCTTATACTTTACGGAATTATATATGCTACTTACAGGGAAACAAGTAGTAATTATCTCTGCGGAAAATAAATTTCGAGTTGTTAACGGAAATACAACTTTGGTAGTCCTTGATACCAAATATTTTTTTCCAATAATCATCCGCCCCTCTATTGTCCGACCTCTCGTCTGTGATAACTAGTTACGTAGGAATTTTACAAAATGATCTCCATCGTTCTGGCCTGACTCAAACCTGCGATTTGAATAATATATCATTAATTGTTGGTAGTACTCACAAGAAGCTCCTGACATTCTAAACTTTCTCACAATTGCTCCAATATATTTTCTTTTAATTTCTCGATAGAAACAGAGTGATATAATATTATAAACGATGACATCACTACCGATTATCACTTGAAATCTGTATTTCGGAAAATTAGCCATAAAGTGCATTTTTGACGTCCCCTCGCACTAATCTACCTACATAAAGATAGATATTTCTTCTTCAAATGAAATTTTGTTCTCCCACCAATTAGTTCCTTTAATTAACAAAACTCTAATTTTTAATAATATTAAAATGTTTTTCTCGTAATTTTGGGTGATTATATTACGGACCAATATTAAAAACCTAATTATTTGTTTTTAACAAAACGGCTCCAAATTTTTTTCATTTAGCTTAGTATTTTTTCTAGGCTAGAGCATGACTTTTAAATGTCATTTGAATTGTTTCTTTCTATTTCAAAATTAAATTTATATTAATTTCAAATTTAAATGACTTCTTACACGACGTCCATGACTTTCTTGAAACTCAAACAGTTTTGCTAGTGAAAATGAGCTCAATAATTAGCACATTTTCAAAAATGTCATTACATTTCTCAAAACGTTTTCAAATTTTTTACAAGGAAAATTTCATACATGACCAACTGTTTACTCTTCTTATTTAATATTCTTAAACTCATTTTTCAATCTTCTTTTAGGAGCCTAAAATTGAGAAAATTAAAAAATATTGTAGATCCCAATAATTACACTTTAAGAGAAAGACGGGCTAAAACCGGAAAGCTATACTCTTAGTATTAGAAATGAACTAGATATGTATTCTATATTATTTAAACTCATTCTCTAGCCAACCCCACAGTCTCTCAAAACGGTCCCTCCGTCTATCCACAAGAACAACATCTATGCCCTAAACTACTCAGATTCTTCCCAAAATTGAAAATTTCCACAAACATCGCCAGTCTCAAAAGCTCCCGATTTTCTGAAAAAGACATCTTTAAATATGCAGGTACTTCAAGTTCCTATGGAGATTCGCACTATACTTATAGATTTTTTTGTATTTTACAGTCTTATTTTCTCATGAATCAGAAAACGAATCAAGTGCAACTTCAGGATTAAA